TGTCCTTTGACATGAGACAAGGACTGTCCAGGCTGAGACTTGCAACTGGCAACCCGTAATTCTTTCATTTTGCTCTACCAGGGCTGCTGCTGGGAGTGACAGGGTGATTATCATGTATTGTAATGGTATTGTGAGGGGGAGAAGACGTAGAGTTTTGGAAGAGGACATAGCTTGCGTCTGTCATCCTTGCTCTGTGATCTGGAAACACACAGGTGTAAGGCAGGCATGCCGGGAAGCCTCCTGGAACTCTGGGGACAAGCGAGGTCTCCCTAGATGATTGGAGCAGCAGCACAGCGCCGCCTACTGAATGTGGGCTTGGAGTTGGCGCATAAGCACCGGATCGAGTTCCAAGAGGCACCTCCAAGGAGGAGCAGACAGAGGGCTCAGACAGGTGGTGCAGGGAACTGGCTGTGGCAATGTCGGGCCAGGGAGGTCAGCTGCCCACTCTTCTCTGGAGAAGGGAACTGGTGGCTCTGGTCAGTGTGGACAGTGCAATTCGTCTCAAAGGGCACTCATGGCGGAGCTTCCAAGCTCTGATGCTGAGCTTGCAGATGTGAATAAAGCACAGTCGTATCCTTGAGCTCAAATTTAAGACTGACCATCACATAAAGGTGGTCTTTAAATGGTGGGTTTCCATCCACAGTGAGGTTTAGCAAATGCTGCAGATTTTGCTTTCTCTTGGAGATTCCCGATGTGTATTTGCTGAATAAAGGTAGAGAAATGTTGGTGCAGGGAGCATATGTGTTTGCTACATATTTTCCACATCTGTTTCTTTACTGAGCTGGGGAACCAGAATTCTAAAGTAGAAAATGCTGCTGTCAGAGGTTTAACCCGTCCTTGCAGAATCCTCCTTATTAGGAGTTCCTTTTAGCCCTTGCAGAACCTGGAAAGAAGAAAAGCCTGACCTAACTCAGCCTCCAGGGCAGGCGCTGGCAAGAGCTGACATGGCTCTGGGGTCCACAGATAAACTGAGATGTGAAACAGAACCTTGATCCTGGAGGGAAAGGCAGGAGCACTGTGCAGAACAGGCGTGTGAGCGGACCCACACAGGTGTGTTGGTGTGAAGCTATGATCTCCATAGCAGAAACCCAAATTCGTACCCTATGACCAGGACGTGGTGGAGGAAGCGGATGTGGCGGGGCCCTCAGAGGAGATGGAAGCCAGGAGTCCTGCCGTGCGGGTCCCAGGCTCCAAGCTGACGCAGCTCCAACCCCCTTGTCACCCTGCACTGCCGTGGTCAGCTCAGAGCCAGCTGGGGTGAGGTTTGCCATTACAGGGACCTTTCCTAACAGCAACCCGCCTGGCATGGTGGTGAGTGATTTCAGCACATCACCCCACTGGATCCTTGTAGTGACCCAAGGGGAAAGTGGTGTCGACATCCTTCTGTTGCCCGTGGGAAGCCTGAGGCTCGGGGAGGTTGAGTGCCCTGACCCAAGTCCACGGGTACTGGCTGGAACCCAGGCACGTGGCCCAAAGTCATCTTCCTCAGTGCTGCAAACCTGTTTGCCTAACGCAGGCACCGGGCAGTCTGCGTGGACGTGGGCTTGCTCCAAAGCAGATCCAGGTATGGGCCCACACTGGTGCGAAGACAAAGGCAGGGCTTAAGAACAACTTCTTTCATTTCCTGCTAAGTGGTTAGAATCCAAGCCCTTTCTCTGTGGCCACGGGGATATTCCACGGTAACCCTGCGTTACATCACGTTATCAAATCTGGAAGAGTAAAGAAGACGTTCTCAGTGTATTTTCTGGTGATATTCATCACTCCAAGAGGCCTTTTTTTTTTTTTCTTCCTCTAATCATTTTAATGCATATGTCAGTTGCAGGCCATGATGACTTCATTTTTATAATTTCCCTTGTTCAGCTTTGACTTCAATTAAAGGCAGATTAAGCAGGGCATGGATTCCGGCAATTAAGCATTCACTAGACGCTGGCCAAGTGAGGGCCACTGTGTCAAGTGTACTTAACCTGAGTCTTTGGCGTGGAATTGATGGGGTCAAGGCCCCTTCTCGGCCTTCGGCCACATGGAACTCACTCAGCACCTCCCAGGGTGAGATCTGGGGCCTGGGATCTGCCTCTGATTTCCTTCTTTTTTAAAAATTGATTGAGTTTACTGGTACATTTTAAATATATGTAATGATCATATTCATCATAGGGGATTTGTACCTGTACGAGATATAACTTGATGCCTCTGGTTCTCAACAGAGACCCTCTGGAAGGCCTGACTTCCTAGGTTAGGAAGGCATCCAAGCTGTGCCCTGGGGGTGGCCATTTGGGCCACTGGGTGGAGAACCATGATTCCCCAGTGCGGCTCAGTGGGAGACTGCCGTCTGGTGGGATGCTATCTTACAAAGGCCTGGGGCAGTATAAGGGCTGCGTGTGCCAAGAGTGCTCTGTTCTTGCCCTGCCACAACTTCAAGGACAAAGAAACAAGGGATGTAGATAGAAAATGAGCTTCTGGGTGAGTGGCGACATTGGTGAGCTTCACAAACGGGTCCAGCTGTTAGGATAGGCGGCTTCCTCTTCTTCACCTGATCACTCAGGCCAAAGGGCTGATAGTTTGATTCCAATGTGGGGAAAAGTGTAAATCAGCTTTGATGATCACAGCAACGTGTTAGACAAGGGAAAGGAACCTAGGCTGGCAGTTGAGCCGGATGAGTACCGTGTCTCCTTTAAGCTGCAGCAATTTCTGCAAGTGCATGTTCTGCTGGAAACCATGGGCCTCCTGCTCTGGTCTCTTACCAGCAGGTCCCTTCAATGAAGCACTATGGTTGGGCAGGGCGTCGTGTGCCAAATGATGGCCACACAATGCTGAGATGAGTGGACAAATTTGTCTGATTCAGTTCCAGGTGGTGTTTTTCTCAATAGGTGTAATTATGCTCTCTTTTAAATTTTAATTTCAAAAGCAGTACATCCACCTTGTGATAATAACCAAAACAGTATATCTTTCCCGATGACCATCCCTAATCCCAGCCCCTTCTCTCCTTCCCCAGATTTAACCACCATTACCAGTGGGAAGTTCACTTCTTTAGACTTTTTTCTATGCAGTTATTTTTATTTTAAAGAGAATAAAAAATAAGAAAAAAAAAACAATAAAAGCAATATAGGATTTCAAAACAAGATGATAGGAAATTAATAATAGTTATTATATTACATATTATTATCTTCAAACTAGTTGTTCCGATTACCAGATATAAACATGCAAAATTGATCAAACAACAAAGCATTAACTATTCCTTTGAATAAACCAATAGAAATGTGTTTAGAACAAACCAATAGAAATTGTGTTTTAGCTTCCTGTTCCCACTCCATCACATTAAAAGGCCTGGAATAAGATGAAATCTCTGCTGCTCAGCAGAATGACAGCTTAATTTTTCCTTCTGCTGATTTCTGTTTATTTGCACAAGCAATAATTAGCTTCACTATCTTCTATGTATATATATATTTTTTTCCCTTCCTTCTTTCTTTTTCTTCTCCTTCCCCTATCCTGGTTGTTCTTCTTTTTTTTTGAGCAGTTTCTTTCCCTTTCACAATATCTATTGTACCTTTTGGATCCTATTTACTCTTTCAGTTTCTTACACTAGGGAGACAATACGGTGTTTACGCATGTGGGTCTGATTTATTTCACTTATGAATATGGTCTCTAGTTGCATCCATTTATCTATGAAAGCCTCAAGTTTATCTTTCTTTATAGCTGAGTAATACTCCACTGTATAAAAATACCACATCTTTTTCATCCATTCCTCAGTGGACGGGCATTTGGGTTGTTTCCAAGACTTTGCTATGACAAATTGCACTGCTATAAACATGGGTGCACATATATTGCTGTGGCATGATGTTTTCAATTTTATTCAGTTGTGAATGTAATCTGTACCTGCAAAACATACGCATATGGCAGAATATTCTTTGCAAGCAGGTTCACAAAGATGATACTATCCATATGTATAACATTCTTAGCAACATTTCTTAGTAACAGATCCTAGAGAATTTTCTATGTTAGAAAACATTAGATCTGCAATGTAGTTGAACTGCTGCAAAGTGTTTCACAGTTGGAAGATACCCCACTTTATTGAGTCCCCTCTATTGGACAGCTAGGTTATTTCCAAACTTCTCGCCATGACAGATAGTGTTCCCATAAACTTCCTTGCACAAATCCCTTGTTGGCATGTGTATTTGACCCCAAGGAATTGAAGGCATTATCTTTACCAATCGCTGATTTGTTGCCCTCAGGAGTCACAAGTGTTTCTGTTCATAGCGGTCCTGTGTGTGCAGAACCCGCACTCTGACATCCTTATCAATAGCCCACATGGCTTATGCAATGAGCTCCTGTTTATGCACCTCCTGCTCCCTTGTGAAGGAGCCAACCACGTCGCTCTCATCTTAGCATCTGAAGTCCTAGGTGCTTAATTCATATGTTCTTTAAGTAGAATCACCTTGTTCTTTGAGGACTCCTGTCCTTTTCCTCTCACACTGGCTCACCCGACAACTATCTTGTCCAGACCCCGAGCTGAACATTTTCTGAACCCCAGGCTGGGTGATGTTGTTCTCTGCATCCATAGTTTCCCTTTCGATGCCTTTGATGTGTTTTCTTGTCTTTCCTGTTTGTGTATTTCCCTGTCCTCCTGAGATCAAGCCGGGACACCAGGGACTGTGGTTTTGTGGCTTTGTGTGTGTTCCCCCCACACAACCCCAGCACACAGAGTAGGTATCCCATAAGAAGTCTCCAAATGGAGGCCGTTGTCACAGAGCCACATCCACATGGAATGAAAGCTTGTGCAAATAAACAGAAATCAGCAGAAGGAAAAATTAAGCTGTCATTCTGCTGAGCAGCAGAGATTTCATCTTATTCCAGGCCTTTTAATGTGATGGAGTGGGAACAGGAAGCTAAAACACAGCAGAGCTTGGGAAATGCATCATCTTTTTTCCCCTGGAAAGTGATTGGCACGTTATTCCATCGCCAGTGCCCCATGGTAACCATCTCCTGCCCTCCCACCCACCCTGCAGGGACCACTGTGATGCGGATGACAGCCTTCGATGCGGATGACCCGGCCACCGACAATGCCCTCCTGCGGTACAATATCCGTCAGCAGACGCCTGACAAGCCGTCTCCCAACATGTTCTACATCGATCCTGAGAAAGGAGACATTGTCACCGTGGTGTCACCTGCGCTGCTGGACCGGGAGGTGAGCTGAGCAGAATGTTTTCTTTTTCCTGAGAATAGAATGTGGTCTCGCACAAGAGAAGGCGGGAGTCAATGGTGCTTTCTGTGGTAAAGGCACAAATGAGACGTTTCACATTGTCTGGTAGGGAAAACCTGTATCAGAAAACGGGATGTGATATGAGCAGGAAGACACACACTGTCAAAGGCCCTGCCCCTCAAAGCGACTTGGATTCTTCAACCTGATGCCTGCTCCTCTCCAGCCTCTGCTTCAGGCCCTGTAGTTCTAGATCCTACAGAAGGGAGAGGGGGAAGAAAGGCGGGGACCTTGGTACCAAGTCAGGCAGACAGCTTGGTCCCCCCTCTCTGCTGTGGGTGTCCCTGGGTTCCTCTGAGACCGTCTCTGCTCCCCATGTCCTTGCCCCAAGGCCCTGTCCCAGGTCACATGTCACAGTGATTGTTCCTGGACCCGTCAGGCATGGGCCAGCTCCTTGGCTTGGCCCAGAGTTTTAAAGGTTTTAGAATCCGTGGTTATAGCAGAATATTTAGATTTCATGTTTCTTTTTTTAAAACATTCTTAATTCCAGATATTTTGAAGTTCAGAACTCAGGGAGCTTTTGTGAAATTCCAAACTTAGGACCCAATTTTCACGCAAACATACTCAGTCACATGAGACGTGACGGGCTGGGTGTCAGCTGTCCTGTTGAGACTGAGCACGTGCCGCCATCCCTGTTTAAGCCCCCACCTGAATGCGCCCCCAGCCCTGACCTCTCCTGGGCACAAAGTCCACCCATAGCTCACATCAGGTACCTCAGCAGGAAGCCCTGTTGGCCTTGCGGGTACGGCAAGCCTAAAGCTCCTTGGGTTCCCTTCCATCCTCACCTCCCTCCTTTGCGCCCCAGATCTGCTCCCCTTCTGCAGTTCACAGTCCTGACTTTGTTCCCCAGACTTGGCACTGGGCGTCGCCCTCGGCCTCCCTCGAGCACTCTGGCTCTGTAGTACTCCAGGCGCTCCCTTAGTGGGCTGTGCCCATTTTCCTCTGTTTTCGGGGGGATGAATCCATGCATCTGAGTGTCTTTTTAACTCCTGTTCTCTGCCTTTCTGTGCTGAGCTTCTCACAGGAATCTGGATTAGACCATGGCACTCTAAGAAGCCACCTCACCCTGAGTCATCAGGGTCTTATTTGTCCCCCATTCCCTGATACCTGTACCTGTGGCTGTCCTTGCTTCACACTGCAACTTGTCTCATTAGACAGTATCCCCTTTCTCTTGGGCTAGGCCTGTACTATCCAGTAAATAATAATTGGTCATATTATTGTTATATAGGCCATATTATTTTACATTGGAATATAAAAGTTTAATTTATAGTCACTGGAATTAAAATGTTACAAATCAGTCACACCAGCCCTGTATCAAGTGTCCAGTCATCACTCCTGGCTAGTGGCAGCTGTGGTGGACAACACAGACAGAATATCTGACCACTGCAGGAAGCACCGTGGCAATGCTGGCCCGAGTGATGAGCATGTTTGTATCCCACACCTGCCACAGTCTGAGCATCTCTACAAATCCTAATTATATGTCTGTTAGCATAGAGGAAGAAAAGCAGGAGTAACCTGGAAATGACCTTAAGATTTTACACTTGAGGAGGAGGAAACAGTAGGTAGACGTGGAAAATTATCAGAAGGGAGAGACAAAAAAAAAATACATTACATTGTGGTTGTCACTTGGAGAATATATTTGTTCCCAGTTCTAAACAGAGCAGTATTGAGCCCAGTTCCTTCACTTTCTCCCTCCTTTATGACTGCCATGTTTTCTTCTTTGGAGGTTAGGTGATGATTTCCAATACCACCCATCTTCTCTGTCCAGCACACTTTTCCACACACATACACACTGCAATAAATACACCAACTTCCTATAACCCCCACCCCCAGTCCTGCAAGTTCCTGCCCCGGGGGGAGGAGCACATGCTACAGCTTCTCCACAACAGCGCCTCTGTGTTCTGACAGCAAATCTTTTCTACTTAGGAACCAAATTGGGAATATAGGGTATTGTTCCGTGTTTTAAGTTTACTTGGGGGACAAGAGAATTTCCAGCTCATGATTTTCTCATCTGAGCTGCAGTGAAGTTATAATAAGTGTGTCATTATGGGAACTGAATTAAGCATTTCCAACCACAATGCATAAACAACCCCGAAGAAAAGATAAACGCAATTTCACTGAAATGGGAAAATCAATGGAAATGAATGAAAAGTGTCACTTTTCAGCGAGGGTTTCCAGAGTTCAGTGCTGATCCAGGCAGCGTTGGCACAGTCTGCGGGAGAGAGACGTCGCAAGTCGTGCAGGCCAGCTGTTCAGCAGTGCTGTGCTGAACAGCGCCTCCGCTCACTGCGGAGCTGCAGCACTCAGCTCTTTGACTTTAAAGGGGCAAAACGTGTGCTGCATTCCCCACGGCGCTGCTCTCCATTCGCAATGCCTTCCTCTCCCTGCACGCCAGCTCCTCTCCACGGATGCCACGTGTGCTGCAGGTGTCTCTGGCAGAATTGTGGACTCACTTCCCATTGTTATTTCGGAGAGCTGCTGACAGGTGGCTTGTCCTAAGTGTGGTTCTAGGCTGGGCTGGCTGGGGCACTCAGGACAGTTATGCATTCTTTATTTGTAGGAAAGTATTTTATTTGGGCCCCTAAGAGCTTTGGTGCGGGTCACACTGATTTTGAGTTTGGCTACCCTAACCTCTCAATGTCTCAAGGGGCATGCATGAGCCTTGGCTGTGGTGAGTGTAGACAAGCAAGTCAAGACTCCCGTGAGAGCAGGGGCTTCTAGCTGTGCAAATACATTGCTCAGGGCCCCAGCGCTGCCTCAGCAAGGAAACAAAGCCAGCATGTGTGCCCCCCTTGGTGGGAGTGGAAGCTTCAGAAAGCCCATAGTTTACAGAAGCTCAGCTGATAACGAGATGGATCTTTCATTTTGATTTTCCAGGTGGAACATTTCCGTTCATGAGTCCCTCTCCCCAGGGACCAGAAAGGAGGTGTTCGCTCAGGCACAGAGTTTACACAGATGGGGTGGCAGTGGGCACTGAGCAGACGCTTTGGATGTGGCCGTTCATCTTCCTGTCTTCCACATCATTTTGTCACAGAGCGTGTTGCGACAGTGAGGCATGGTGTTGGGGAATGATCTTCAACACACTGCCAGCTAGGTCATCGTCCTTTCTCTTCCCACCGGGGGCCAACAGAGGCAGATGCCTTCACCTGACCTGCTCTTTGCCTTGCCCCAAGGTTCAAGCGGAAAGAGATTCTGTTCAGCCTAATCCCTGACATATTCCCAGTCCCTACCATGTTAGAGATGCCCGAGGAGCTATTCCTTGAGAGATAAAAGGAAAGAAGGAAGTAAGAGATGGAAACTTGAGGCTGAGCTGTGAGCTCAGCTGAGGTGCCTGCTGGTCATCCTTCATGTCAGAAGTGTGGCACTGTAGACAGCATGTCTCCCTGCAAGCCTGGGGCATTCTCCATGACAAGTGCATCCTCGTCCTTTCTCTGAAACCATATTGGAACAGGCCCTACCTGAAGCAAGGGACCTTGGATCTTTGTCCCAACTGTGTATTGCCATTGCCACATATAGTATAGTGCCAGATACATAAGAGGCATTTGTTGAGACTTGAGATTTGTTGAGTGGATGGATGAATAGATGGATGGATAGATGGATGGATAGATGGATGGATG